ATGTATAGCGAATATCTTGACGTTGATACAACTTGATGTATATTAAACGAAGTTTGATGGCGTGCCTCTGGAGCTCCCAGTTATTACCCCCCGCCGATGCCATACCAGTGCCGTCTTCTCTGAAATGAGGAGAAGCTAGACATCGAGATGAACGAGTCGAGAGCTCACCTTGTACGGGGTTGTGCCAATCGATGATCCGAACGACGCTTATCAGCCTGAGAAGTGAAAATCGCAGTAGAAGTTGAGGGGAAAATTTGTCAAGAACGAGCTCACTGGAAACGTAATTGCGTCAAAGTGAGATTTCAAGTCGAGTGAAACTACCATGGTATCCTGGTTAATTATCCTCTGCCCGTGGGCCATCCCTCGAGAGTTCCCAGAGTAGATCAACTGTGCCCAGTCGAACATTCCATCATTTTGGAATCCTGACAGGTAAGAATATCAACAAGCACAAGTTCGAACACATCAGAAGACAGGGAAACTACCACGACTAAGGTTGACGAACCAGGCGAAATGACCAGGTAGTGGAAACAAAACCGATCTCGCGCTGTTAAGTATACTACCTTCACGCATGAACAAATCCTTGAACAACCTCCGAAGATATGCATAGTCCGGTCTATCCTCAAACCGTAATGCTCTGCAATAGTTCAGATATGTCGCGAACTCTGCAGGGTAACCTCTCGTCAACACCTGAGCAACGTCAACTCTTCCTGTTCAAACGCTCAACTAGCGTTATGTCACAACCGAGCAGGCAGCGACCTATACTATGGCGTAGACATTCCCAGTAATCAGGGAAAAATCTCAAAGATCCTTTTCCCCAATCCGCAAGCTCCCCATTACTTCAACCGGAGTAGACATTTTCTTTTCCATGATTTTGTGATACTTCTCCTGCTTAGTATTTGCCTTTATACCTTGCCACGGCAGTGAGCCACGATTGAAGTACATGAGGACCTATAAAACCCCCATGCCTCTACCCCGCACAAGTTCGATTCCGCCAGACGTCATTACATATCCT